CTCCAACCCAACACCATTTCCAACACTAAAATAGTGAACTCATTTTTTACACCAAATATGGTGTAGAAAATAGGTTTACACCATTTTGGTGTTAAACTTTTTTTATTTATAAAAAAGTCATTTCAATTTTAATCAACTTTAAAATTAATGAAAAACATATAAAAATTGTGATGGTTAAACCCAAAATCTAATATGTTTGATAATAATTAAACAAAATCTTAATACATTTTGTTATTTTATATGTTACAATATATTTCTTTTATATAATAAATGTTAAATTTAATTTATTTCATAATTTTTTAAATTTAAAAAAATAAATGGGGTTGATTTGTAAATTTTAAAGAATTGAAAAAAAGAATCTATTAAGAATATTGCATTTTGGTGTAAAAATTGGTGTAAACCATTGGAACAAAACCCAACACCATTTTGGTGTTGTCCCATTTTTTATTTTTTGTGTAAAAAATGGTGTAAACCATTGAAGATGCTTTGAGAAAAGTTATTTTTTCTCTGTTACATTATCATCACCGCTAAAATGTTAGTTTTATTTTATCATCACATATAAAATTGATGATTTATCGTTTATAATAGATAAACCACTTACCTATCTATAACTATAAATACAGTCTATAACACATTCAGTTTGATAATAAACGGTTAAACATCGATGAAAATCCGGTTCTTAGAAGAAGAGTCTTGACCACGCAAAAAAAATTCCTAGTTTCTTTCTTACATGTTGTATCTGGCGTAAATTTATTTGGGCTACAAAGACCCACGTTGAGGTTAATTTCAATAAACAAAAGGCCCACGAGTTTCAATTCAAAACCGCAATAAAACCTGAAAGAGGTGTGGCTGCTGGGATTCGAGCCCAGGTCTCCACGGCCACAACGTGGAATTCTAACCACTAAACTACAGCCACTTATATTATCTGATTTTGTTAATGTAGCTATTTAGTAGATAAATATTGACCCTTCGCTAGTATCTTTCCGTTTATTTAGACCGTTACTCTGTTTCAATAAGACATTAATCATTTCATTACGTTCCATGATCTAGTGTTATAAAAAAAAAAGTTCCATGATCTAAGATTTAAGTGAAATCATTAACTCGTAACTCTTAACTCTCTCCCATTTCCCCCACTAAAAACAACCTTTAATCACAATCAATCAATTTAAACTTCAAAACCACAGTATTATAAATTGAGGCTCTTAGCAGACCCCATTATCAATCATCACACAAACACAACACAAAACCTAAAGAAAAACCAAACACAATGGCTTCTAACACAAGTTTCGTCTTCTTCACCGTCGCTCTTCTCCTCGTCGTCAATATCTCCGGCAGAACACTCCCGGCGACGGCAGATTCCACCAACATTGCGGCGAGGCTTACCGGAGGAGGACTTATGCAATGTTGGGATGCTCTTTACGAGCTGAAATCCTGCACCAACGAGATCGTTCTCTTCTTCCTCAACGGCGAGGCCAAACTCGGCACCGGTTGCTGCAACGCCGTCGAAGTTATCACCACCGATTGTTGGCCGGCGATGCTTACTTCTCTTGGCTTTACCTCCGAGGAAACTAACGTCCTTCGCGGCTTCTGTCAGTCTCCAAATTCCGGTGGCTCTTCTTCTCCGGCGCCTTCTCCTGTCAAAGTTTGATGATATATATTTATGTTCCTTGACATTTAAATTATAGTTTTTATTCAATGGAATAATGAGAAAATGTTAGCTCAATTATTTGAGTTTGGAATAAAATACGAAACAAGTAAAGAGTTCATCAAAATGGAATAGCTTAAAACCATTATCATAACAAACAAACCTAGCTTTGTCAAGGAACAGAGCTTAGAAATAATTAACTTGTCCAAGAAGAAACTTAATTCATGCTTTTGCACAGTTTTCAAGATAATATAATTCTTTGGATTGGACTGGAGATTGCGTAACTCAAGTGAAGATCAACAAATATTTTGGGCATATTGCTGTTACTTGCTCAGACTCTGGCAAGTTAATTTGTTTCTGGAATTTTTAATATTTAGTATCTGGCTAGTTTTTTTTTGGATAAATTATTATTTGGCTAGTTTCATGATCTATTTGAATGACATAAACACTATCTCACAGTGAGATCGAATCTAGGAAAATCACTTTTAAAAAACGTATTTTTATTTGCTTTACGAT